GTTGACGACTCTACATGTTTCGACATTACAATGTATCCTTGAATTTAATAATAAGTTCAAAGTTTTAAATATTGTTTTTACTATTACTTGGGTCATGCAGCCATTTTAAACAATTAAGCACAGCTGAGGGAAGGGCTTAATACATGTGGTCATCAAACACACACATGTGGTCACTATATCCCCTTTACCAGTCATAAGCCAAAAATTATAGTTAAATACATAAATAAATAATAAAAAAAACAGCTATAAATGATACATAATTTAGGATGTATCGGTCTCAGGTTGACCCCTAGGGGCTTGAGGGATGTAGATCACTGCTTTAGAGAATATTTACATAAAATTCTTAATATATCCAATCCGAATGTCCTAGGTTTATTAATAGTTCCTGTTGAGGAAAAGAGAATCTTACAACATTTATTCACATTTCCAATGAAAACAGCCAAACAAGTAGATGAATTCAGGAAAAAAAGTTATGTGAAATAATGATTTGAAAATTAATAAGTTAACATATATCAGTATTATCAATTTTATTATATTAACTGGTTGGGTACTGAGGACATGGGCAACAAAATGAGAGTTAACAAAGCTAAAGTTTTCAGTACTACAGTTTTATAACTATTATTACCAATGATAATCACTAATTTAAGAAAATGTCTGAAAGTCCGTAAAACAATTTAAATACTCTTAAATGTTTTACTTTTTTTAGATAATGTAAAAATTAATGCAAAAAGGCATCCAGATACATAGAAATTCATTATTTTAAACACATTTTAATTTCGAAATCATTAATGTCTTTGAAATGTTCATAAGATTAAAACATTCTCAGGTGATGTTTACTGATGTATAACACAAGATATATATTAAAACTATTTCTACAAAATATATGTTATAATTATTTCTTACATTACTCTTACTTTCTCACAAAAACTATTCATAAAAACAACCCTATTCTTCAGATGTAATAACATACGTTCAGCACAACAAACACAATCCTAACACCTCTCTCTTCAGAATGTTAATCGTGAAATGATAATGACTGAACTGTTGAGACCATTATACAATTTAGGTAAGCAATCACCTCCAAAAAAATTGCTACAAGTGTACAATACAAACAATGAAGTATACAGAACTTCTAAAAACTAACTTCATTGGCTGCTGTCATATTCTCTTCTCTAAAATAAAGTAATGCCTCTACCATTCGAGAGATTTCTTCAGATGAGAGAATACCATCTCTGTCCTCATCAAATACTTTGAATAAGACTAAACAACAACAAAAAAAGGGAATTAGAGCAACTTTTCCAATAAAACAAATAATAATAATAATAATTCACATTCATTTTAATACAACATTTAAAACATTGATAGTAAGCTTTATATATTCATATAGCAATTTTGCAAGTTATTACCAAATAATTACAATTACAATTCTTCTAAACGTTGATGGTAAGTTACATATAACAATTTTGCAAGTTATTACCAAATAAAAACAATTACAATTCTTCTAAACGTTGATAGCAAGTTACATATATATAACAATTTTGCAAGTTATCACCAAATAAACACAATTACAATTCTTCTAAACGTTGATAGCAAGTTACATATATATAACAATTTTGCAAGTTATTACCAAATAAACACAATTACAATTCTTCTAAATGCTGATAGTAAGTTACATATATATAACAATGTTGCAAGTTATTACCAGATAAAAACAATTACAATTCTTCTAAACGTTGATAGTAAGTTATAAATATAACAATTTGGCAAGTTATTACCAAATAAAAACAATTATAATTCTTCTAAACGTTGATAGTAAGTTACATATATATAACAATTTTGCAAGTTATTACCAAATAAAAACAATTACAATTCTTCTAAACGTTGATAGTAAGTTACATATATATAACAATTTTGCAAGTTATTACCAAATAAACACAATTGCAATTCTTCTAAATGCTGATAGTAAGTTACATATATATAACAATGTTGCAAGTTATTACCAAATAAACACAATTACAATTCTTCTAAATGCTGATAGTAAGTGGTTTCGCTAAATAGTAGATAGGGACACATTCTTCTCAATTCACATGTACAGTGCACAGCCAGTTGTAAATGTAAGGTTAACTCCCTGTATACAAGCTTGGTAGGTCAAAAGTATAGTTTTATGACATACATCCTATAACTTCAAATTTACTAGGTATATCTTCATGAAATTAAGCAATCTTTTAGTAAACATTACAAGCTTGTTGTACACAAAAAATCAAATTTTTTAGTAGATCTGTGAATTTATAAAGCCTTTATTCAGTCAGTCTGTGTGGAAGGTGATATTCAGGCTAAGATTAAGAAATCTTCCTTCTACTTACAGTTTTGTTATTTTATTTGCATAACCTCAAAACTCCTAAATGATCATACAAAGTTTTTTCAGTAAAAAATTACGTTCATCTTTAATTTTGAAATCTTAACATTAACTGTAGCAAAATCATCTTTAGCAAAAATATATATACATTTTTTAGAACGACAGTAGATTGTAACAAACAATTATAATTATTTGTCCCAACAGTTTCACATCTGCTGTCCTTTAATTTTGTTTTATGTTCTTTGAACTGTCTTTAACTAGCATAAAAAAAAAATCAATAAATCAGCAAACAAAAGCTTAAAGTAAACAAGTTACTGATTTACATCACATAACATCAGCCTTTGCTGGTTCCTTAAGGAGAATTTTTTTAAATTGTTTTCCTGTTAGGTTTTTCTTATCTAACCTAATTATTACACTTTACTGTTAAAAATATATATAATGTTATATGAAAAACTCACTCTAGCTTTGAGGTCTTTCATACTGTGGTTTAGTATGCCTATTTTCTATTCACCATATTGGTTGTTCAAAAATAATTTACTTAGCTTTCAAACTTGCATTTCAGAACACAAAAAATATATTGGATACTAGAAGAGAATGTTCCAAAACTTCTATAACTTATCTGGCTTTTTTAACTAACCCATAAATAGGTTGTAAAAATTCTATTACTGCTTGGAGCAGAATCTTTAGCCGTCTAAATACATCGAGCTATCGTAATGAAATATTGGCTTTTATCACCAAAACAAAACAGACAATCATCTGATTTATGTAAATGAGAACTTACCCTTTCTAGTTGTTATAAACATGCCCAATAGCAATGTCAAAGAGAATTACAGACCTTTCCCGAAAGATGGAGGATTTGGGAGGAGTTTGTCAATGTGGGTTGAACTAATACAGCAATATCTCAATAAAGCAAAAGGACATTGAAATTTTATTTACTGGTTTGTATCTATCTATAGCACGTGTTTCTAATTGTTCGAACAATCTGAAGCTTTTCAAAGAAAATCTTTTTTTTTTTACAGAGTTACATTCAAAATGTTCAACTGTTATCGATGTATGTTAATAAACTCAGCATTAAAACATAGTTTATAATTAACATTTTTATATTATCTAAGTCTTAATCTCTTAATTTCAAAGAAAATATTTAGATAAACTCTCAGTCTGCACATCCCTGAGGCACATTATGTGGTGGTGCTGCGACTTCTCATTTAAAGATTATTTTTTAAAAAAAAAAAAAGGTCGTGAAATGTGAACTTTGACCCATTTCCCGAATGTTAAACTAATCTATTTCTTTCCTCTTGGAACCATTAATAGAATCTTTGATTTATTGTGTTGTAATCAATTAAAACAATACTATAATCATAAAGTTTCTGTTACTAAGTTCTAGTACTCTATAAAATAAATTATATCTCCAGTACAGAAACTCTAATGATTGAGGACTTTTCAGAAATTTCGTTTTTGACAGTCAGGTGAGGTTCTCTAATGTTAAGGAGTGAAACAGTAGAGAGAGAAAGGTATTAAGCCAGTGGATAAAACAGAAAAGTAAAAGATTGCTCGAAAGCCACTTATTTTTGTATGTTACTATAAAAATGATCCATTATGGTTGTGTGTATGTTAGCATTCATTGCCCACAATTGGCTAGCTCGAATACTGTAATTTTTTGTAAGATAACTGGATGGTGTACATGAGCTATCTTGTTTTAGCCCAAGAAAAAGGATGAAAAAGCCTCTGAAATTGGGAACATTTTCCTAGTGTTTTGGCTTGCATTATCCAGTGAGCTGGTTCAATAGTTTGTATGGTAACTGGAAACTGCCCAACAGTGTAAACTGGCTATCTTGGTTTTAGGATTTTTTCCCAAGAAGGTGGATAAAAAAACACTCAGAAATAGGACATATTTCCACCTTTTTATACACAAAAATGAATGTTTAGACTAAATAGCTTAAATCTCATAACATTATACATTCATATATATTTATTATTTTTATTATATTGACCTTTTTGTCGTGCCTGGCTAACCACAGAATATACAATGATACAGCTCATGAGCACTCATGTTACCGTATCAAATAACATAAAACTGTCCTTTTGTCTGTACAAAGTAACTTGTCTTGGATGTGTTTTAGTAGACTAGTATTTTGAAAAATACAGTCACATTTCAATTATTATACATTATATATGTATATAAATTATTACTATGTACAAATAAGTTCTTAACC